TAGATGTGAAACATGGACCAGTTTTTCCGAGTATTATAGTGATGGTTTGTTTTTGCATTCACACTTATTTTTTATAAGTGGTTTAAAAATTTTATTTTAAAAAATATTAAATTAATATTTTTAATATTTTAAAATAATTTTAGTGTATTAATATAAAAAATCAATATAAATTAATTTTTTTTAAATAACTTTATATTATAATATCTTAAATCTGTTTAAAAGTATAATTGTTATTATTTTTTAAAGTGTTTTTTACTTATAAATATATTAAAATAATATTTTTTTTATTTTTAAAAAATTATTTTTAATATCATTACATTAAAAGGATAAACAAATATCTTTAAAAATTTTATTTTAAAAATTATTTTTAAAATTTTAAAATAATTTTAATATACTAATAAAAAAATCAATATAAATTAAAAAATAATTTCAAAAATTACTCTATGTTATAATACCATGAATCTATTTGGTAGTTTAATTACGGTTGTTTTTATATTATAAGTATTTTTCACTCAAAAATTTATTAAAATAATATATATTTTTTATTTTTTAAAAATTATTTTTAATATTAATGTATTAAAATAATATAAAAATACTACAAATATATTAATTTAAAAAAATTTAAATACTTTTAAAATAAAAAAAACCAATAACCAATTTATTCATGGCCACTGTTCCTATTTTCACATTGAATGTGTGCAAAAAGTTCTTACAAGATAGAAGAAGGATCCAAGTCGAAGTCGACTCTGGGCCAGCGTGGAAAAAAATCTATGTGCCGAAGTTTAAATAGTACGAAGGGAAGAACACACAGGACAAAAGCTAACATTTATTGTCTTCCCTCCACTTGTAGCCGCCTCACATCCTATGTAATAAAATACAATAATGATAAGATTATTTTCTCGCTTGTTCCATTGCAAGTTGTTTTTAATATAAAAAGATATTTAATATATTTAGGTATTATTAACATGTTTTATAGTAAAAAATAATTTTAAAACATACAATGATTGATGTGATATAACTTTATTAATTTAATAAATTTAAAGCCAACATAAATAATTAGCAAAAATATGGTTTGTTTTCTAATAAATATTCAAGATGAGAATTTTTTATATAAATATTGAGACAACAAAATATTAGATCGATTTGATTTAATTCGAGTTATTTAACTAACCCATATGACAGGTCATGATACATGATAACATCGTGAAAAATAAATCAAAATAAATTATGAAATTTAATTTTTAATAAACTCAATATTAAATGATTAAATTGAAAAAAATCAATTAAAAATACAACAAAAAAATAACCCTAGTCAACTCGGGTTAATATGTCAAACTCGCAATTTAGATCATTAAACCATGATAATATAATAAAAAAAATTAAAATAAATTATGAAATTCAATTCTCAATCAATCTAATATTTAAAGATGAAATTAAAAAAATAATTAAAAAACAGGAAAAAAAACTCTAGTAAACCCGTTTGACTCGCCAAAATAATAACCAAAGTCATGAGATGAGGATAACCTCATAAAAAATAAATCACAAAACCCAAACCTCAATTCTCCCAATGTTGAATAATGAAATTGAATTAGAAAAGTGAAAAAAACCTGAGTTAACCGAGTTAACTCACAAACCCGTGGTTCGGGTCAAGAAATTGGGATG